AGCCTCTATTTTTTTAAGGCTTATATAATTACTAATAGCTCTTTATTATAGATCTTGTAGTTTATTTCTATAGGTAAAAACTTTTATAAGAGATAGATATATAGGGCTAGGTCTCTATTTATCTATTATTAGGATAATATAGCCCTAGTTACCTATCCTAAAGTATCTATTTTAATTACTATTTCTTAGTCCTCGAAATAGGAGAGAATTAGTGCTATAATAAAAAGTTCCTTTAATTTACTAAATACTTATTTATAGTTATTATTCTATTTAAATTCTATATTCTTCTATATTAGTCTAGTTAGGAGGGCCGCTAGATCTATAAACTTAGGGATAAATACCTAGTAGAAGTTAGTGAATCCGATAAATATCTATATATCTCTAATTATTTTAGGTATCCCCTATATATAGATAGCCTTAATCTTTTTAGGATTAATATATACTCTTTTATCTATATAAATTATAAAGCCTAAATATTTAACTAACTTTTATTTAAATTCTAACTTATTAATATTATATTAAAGGCCTATATCTTAGAGCTTCTATAATACTTTCTTAATCTTCTAATAGTAATCCTCTAAAGAACTACTTAAATAGATAATAATATTATTAATATAAATAGATATAAAATCGTCTAAAAACTCCTAAAAGGTATAATTAATAAACTACTAAAAGGTTATAAGTACTCTAGTAAGTCTAAATAGGATTATATTCTATTTAAAAAAGCTATAATAGATATAAAAAGTAGTCTTTTACTCCTCTCTTAGTTAGATTCTAATCTTATAGAAGGTAGCGATAATATCTAATTTTATAAACTAATAGGTACTTTTTATATTATAGAGGGTCTCTTAGATTAAGAGAAAAAGGTATCGATCTTTTATACTAATTTTATTTAGACTATAATAGTCTATATAGAAATAAACTCTCTCTCCTAGCTTTTATATAAATAAGATAGGTACGGCTATAGGCGATTAGCTAACTTAGATAAAGTTCTTATCTAATAGGTCTATTAAGATCTTCTAAAGATATAGTAATTCCTCTTTATTTATTCTATAGAGAGGTCTATATAGAGGGGTTTCCTCCTATCTATCCTTATTATACTTAAGAGGGATTTAGTAATTAATTCTAGGCTAGTTTAGTAGTAATTAGTTAGCTAACTCTTAGTTAAATACTTCTATCTATTTCTAGTAATATTTTAGTAGTTTCTCTTTTAGCTTTATATATTTTTTAATATATACTATTACCTCGATATCTACTATTATTACTTTTCTAACTTATATTTATTAGTAAGGGTCGATTCTTTTATACTAGACTTTAATCTTTTTAGCTAAGTATTTTTATATTTATAGTCTTTTAGCTCTAACTAGTCCGATCGAGCTATCTACCCTATTCTAGTAGTAAGTATACTTATAGGTAGTAGAATAGATATTAAGATATCTTTTTTATATAGAGTAGTAACTATTTACTTATTTTATCTATATATTACCTAGTATTATCTTATTATCCTATTAGTCTATAATATAGGCGAATATATATAGTTATTTATATCTATATATATCTAGATCGAAATATATTATATATATAATCCTTCTAAGGTTATAAATTATACTATCTAGCTATTATAGTATACTTAGATAGATATATAGGAGATTAAGAGATCTTATAAGGCTTTTATTTATAGTTATATAGCTAGTATAGCTATTATTAATAAAGGCTTTTATAAACTTAATTCTATTTACTCTAGTATCGATATAAAATAGTAATAATTCCTTTCTTATAAGATCTTTAATCTTTTTTTACTCTTACTTATAGCTAAGAATAGGAGCTACTTATTTTCCGAGCTACTTTTAGAGATTATATTATTCTCAGAGGACTCTAATTTATTTAATTTACTCTTTTCTAGCTTCGCGGTATAAGACTTCTTCGCCTAAGTAGATAGTTTTACTTCCTTCTAGTCCTTATTAGAAATAGCCTTAACTATATAGGATTTAGGGTCGGGTTTAATAGTAGGGAGATAGGGATAGATATAGGTATTATATCTATCTCGGCTATAATAGAAATAGAGTCCGTTCTTCCGGTATTATTCGAATTCTTCCGGAGTAATCTATTTAGCCTATCTTATATAAAGTCTTTCTTCGGAGGATGACTTATTTACCCTAGACGTAGGCGTCTAGTCTATTTTATCTCTAGTTAGTAACTTAAGGTAGTCCGACTAGCCCTAATTTCTTGCTTTATACTTTATATCGACTATAAGAAAATCTAGATTAGTATCGATTCTTCGTAAGAGGGTTATAAGATCCTATATTATTCTAGGGATCTCTCGGTATACTAAGATATTATATATTATTAGATTAAGCGCTTGAGATAGGATAGATATCTTAGCCTCCTCTAGCTAGGATATCGCTCCCGAATCCGTAAATTCTTTCTCGAGCGTAAATAGAAACTTAGCGAAGGATTATTTCGCTCCCTATTATAACTAGCTAAGGTATTAAGTTACCCTTCTCTTCCGGTTCGGATCGCTATATATATTTTTAAGCTAGTCGATTAGATCCTCTAGCTTTTCTTACTATATCTCTTTACGCTAGGTAATAAAGGCGATAGAGTTTTTACTTATATTATCTTCTAAACGAGAGTAAATATAGAGTATATATTCTAAGTTATCTTTAAGAGCCTCTTAGTCTACTAATAACTTATTTTCTATAATAAGTTACTAGGCTAGCTAACCCGAATAGCTCTTTTTAAATATTAGGGGGTTAGGTAAATATAGCTAGGGCTAATAATATAGGGCTAGCGGTAGTAATATAAAGAGAGGGATATAAGTTACTAGGTCTAGGGTAGTTATTCCCTCTAGGATAGTTATATATAAGGTATAAACCTCGATTACTCCTATATATATATCTATTCTCTATTTATATTCGCTTAGCTAATTTATTAGCATTCGAGCCTATTTAAGTATTCCTTCCTAGCTTAGTTCGTCTATTATAGGCGAAAGTAGCCGCTTTACCCTATATATATAGTTCGATAGGGGGTTTCCGTATACTCTAGGGCTTCTAGAGACTTTATACTACTACTATAAAGCTTCCGAATACTTTAGGGGCGATTAATAATTAGTATCGGAAGATTCTTATATATAAAAGGTCAAAATAAGTCTTATATTTAAACTAGCTAAGCTACGAACTATCGACAAGAATCTTAGAGAAAGAAGTATAAAAAAGGCTGAATAGTTATAGTTATTTACAATCGGATCAATATAGTACCGGCCTAAGGCAAGCGGTATGCCATAGTCACATAGTGCCATCCGGGCACTGGCCCGTTATAATACTAGTACCTATAAATAAGTTTAAGTTCTTCCTCTTAAAAGACTAGGATTAGTAATAGCAAGATACCTATTATAAATCCTTTTAATAAGCTCTATTTCTATATTAAGAGTACTTTATAACTCTTAATTAGTCTAATAAAGGTTTCTAGAGAGTATCTTAGCTAAGCTTAAAACTTAATAAGATATTAGATAAAAATAAGCTATAACTAAATATAGCTACTAATAAAATAATCTAATATCTTAATAGTAATATATTTATACTATATTTATATTATAGATATATTATACTAATTTATAAATAGATATTATTTAGATTAGGTCTCTAGTATTCTAGAGAGAATACTAAGCTTATTTTCTAGTAATTATAGCTTTTATATAAAATATACTCTCTTTCTTTATAATAGGTACTAGGATTAAATAGCTCTTTAATACTACTTAGGATATCTATTATTACTATTAAAGATAGATAAAATCTTAGATAATCGAAGACTTAATAATATTTCTTTATATATTATAGTTTAATATAGAAAAATAAAAGATAAAGCTTCTTAAGAAGTTCTTCTCTTATAATAAGATAGAAATAGTAAAAAAAAGAAGAATAAGAAGCTTGACGAGGTTAAAGTAGAGCTAATTAGTAATACTAAAGAATAGGATACTATAATTAATAATAATATAGAGCTAGATAAAACTTTATCGACTAAAGATAGAGAGTAAATAATCGGCGAATCCTAACTACTATTACTAAAGAATTATACCTAGATATATATATTAGAAAAGAAGCGTAAGAATCGAGATAATAATCTCTTTAAGTACTATTAGAATAAAGTTATTGAAGCTCTACTATTTACTAGACCTAGTAAAAGGCCTAAATTCTAATAACTATTAGAAATATAGTAAAGATATTAATAGTCTCTAGGTAATAGATAGCCTAAATTCTAATAGCCGTTAGAAATATAGTAAATAATCTAATATACTAGAGAGACTATAGCTTATTATATAAATACTAAATATTATAGCCTAAAAATTATATAAGTTATATAGTTATAGGTCTTAGCGTATTTATAATATTTATAACCTAACTTAGGTTATTAACCTAACACTAGGTCGAGATTCATAACCCGGACCCAACGCTAGGTCGAAACCTTCGACCTAGAACCTAACCCAGTCCGGGTTAGGTCCGGGTTGGGTCCGGGTTAAGTTAGGTTCTGCGGAAGTCTACCCATTCCACCAACCCCTATAGGATAGGCCTGCGGGTTAGGTTAGGCCCAAAGCCTACGCGGGTTAGGCCTTAGGCCTAGGGTCCGGGCCCAAACGTGGGTTTTGGCGCAGTCTACGCTGAACTGTATTGCTATTGCTTCGCTTACAGTATAAGCTGGAATTCTCAATGTCATTTGTCGCTCTACCAGTTGATACTATTGCTTGCAACCCTCAGCCCTATGGGTGACCGTATTGGTGACGTTGTTAAATTGTTCCAATTTGAGTTAGAGAATGTGAAAAAACTATGGAGGACATGAAAGCCATGGTACTATATCACGCTTTGTGCAATGCGGAGATCATGATGCAGATGTTATAACATGCGGAATATCAAATCTCCCTTCCGGTCTCCACATGCTGCTGGCGTTCCGCCACAATACAAGCATCAACAGGCAGAAGGGGTTCGCCGAGTAATCCCCTAAATCAATTATCTGACAAGAGAGTATAGGAGCCAGCCAAAAGTCGCTACCGCCCATATCGGTCCTCCCAATTGACCTTTCAGGCTCCCTGCACTCTTAGCTGGGCAGCTCACCACCGAAGAGGGCAACCAACAAGCTGTAGTCGTAAGCGCTAGAGAAATGCTTGACGCGCCCGTCGCATTTAACTGTGCTGCACAAGGGTTCGGACGATACGTCGGAGACATCGGCACTACGTCCGCACATGTAGTCACAGAATCCTTGCCATCCGGATTATCCGGACTCCTTATAGATACTTTTTCAAGTCCCGTAACGTTAAAGGTAAAGCCCTCTGCGCTAGCACAAACATCATCAGCCGTAGCCGTAACGAGATCAGGCGCTTGCGCGCCGTTCTTGGTTGTGAAGATAATGCGTTTGCCTTGGGTGTACGAGCCCATGGAATAGTTGTTGGCTGGGAACTGGGAGCAGTTGACAGAGTCGACGTGCCACTGGAATAACCAGGTGCCTTCTATGGTAGTAAGGTCGTAAAAACTGCTGTACTCGTAATATTGACGGGCACCAGTTGGGATGTAATATGCCTTAGGTATAACTCCATACCCGGTCATATTGCCGCCCTCGAGTTGCCAGAGATTCCACCACAGACTTAGATGGAGAGGTACAGCGGCTGAAGGGTTTTGGATACCGAAAACCAAGGGCATAAGGACTGTAGGCGCGTATGTGTCGTTTCTAGGAAAAAGAAGGTCAACTTCTGCAATTGATGGAAGATTTTGCGCAGAAGACCATCCTATTGATAGGGCCAGGAGGAGGCATGCTGCAATATTGGAGGGAAACATTTGACCAAGATCAAAAAAAAAAGCGTTTCTGGGGTATCAAGAATAGCAGGGGTAGTAGGCGAGCAATAGTAATAATGATAAAGAGGCTATTGCCGAGCCGGACTCTGAGTTCAGCGAACAATGTACGTTCACGATATAATAGAAGAGGAGGGGAGAGGGAGATATTCTTGGTTAAGTATGCGAAGTTGAATCTCAGCGAGTGGCCCGTGTTAGACTTGCCTACTCAAGTACCCCACTCTACTTAGGCACTCTTGGAAGAGTTTGACGAAGGTGGCCGGGCGGTAGGCTTGAGCGATTATTACGCTAATCCGTACCCATTTAACTCCACTTCCCCCAATTTAAACTGGAGTGATTTTTACGACAGATCTAAAATCCCCCCATTGTTCTTAATATCGCTTCTCTACCTACATTGAATCGATATATAGTTAGGATATACGTATGTAGCTTAGCCTTGGAATTGAGTGGATGCTGCAAAAGGCTGGCTAGGTTGGGTGTAAGTAGGAATAGTCAGGGGTAACTACCCAAGCAGTTAGTCGCGGTAGCACGTACCGTCGGTATAGTGATCGACACGGACCTGACTACATATCTACGTGCCGACCTCGGGAGCTCCGAACTGTAGGGTTGTATCGAATCTCCGTGTCCCTGCAAGCTAGTGCAAGCTAAGACGCCTCGCAGGAGAACTCCACTGAGCCTACCTTAGCGGCGGTTCCCACCTACCGAAAAGTCGCGATTGTTCCTTCCTATTAAGGACAACCAGAACCGGCGAGAACTAGGGGTTAGCGTCGCAACGAATACTACACCTAGCTGATAGTAATGCCTGGGGTTGGAATCTTTGGACGGAAAGTGCACTATAAGCAGCCCGTCGCTAGGGGTGGGGTTCTAAGGAATCTCTATGCAAATTAGAGAGCCCCAACCCGACCGCCCTTAGTATCTAATATTTAAGAAGCGTCAAGCGCTGTTAGTGATAGAGGATTTTAGACGTCCAGCGGTAGGGATTTATCTTTGCTCACGATATGAGGAAATAGACCTACGCATAGACGGATTCTTAGCCACCGGGACAGCCTAGCAAGGGATTTTTCAAAATCCTCGAAAGTCGAATCAAGAAAGTATATTAGTCTACCAATTACACTAGAAGATAAAATCGTTTAGCGATCGCAAATCTCGGGGAGCACGGAAGGTAAGCCCCGATACCTATGGTCAAGGCGATGTCAAAAGCTTAGCTATAAACAAGCTTTCCGGAGGACTCGGCCGCGTAAGCTGAAATGTCGCGCTAGAGCCCTTTCGTGTCTAGTAATCGGGTTTCTACCTAAATACCCACCACCCCTTCTTATTAAGGGTTTTTTAGCCGACTGAAGGGAGGGAAGTAATCCTTAATAAAATAAATAGGTCGTGGCGCGATTTCACAACCTATATACCACGGGTGGTTAAAGTCTAAAGGAGAGCGAAATCTCGTACGTACGTTCTAGTTTTATACAGCTTGTATACTTTAGACAGGGGAAATAAGCCTCAGAAAACGGTATTAAGATTACTGCGTATATACTCCGGGAAGTAACACTTAATCATATATCCATCGGAGCGTTAGGTACCAAAATTCGGGGCGCGGTTAAGCTACAGTTTTAATCCATCCTATACGGAGCACAATAAGACTGTTTATCGGTCGGCCGCGCTCACGATAATCCTCTCGCGTACTTTAGGATCACGCCATAGGAAGAAAATAAATAACGATAGCTGGATGCAGGCGTAGAGTAGGGTCCAGTCCTACTTGCAGGCGGCGAAATCTACCCGGCCCATCACCATTAGCCCACGGGTGTCTATGCACCGGGCCAAGATGGCTAATAGCGTACCCCCGTTTAGAACTATCAATAGTGACAAATTAGTACTACTTTAGTGAATTAAGCGTGAAACAGGCCCTTTAACACCACCTTTGTAGCCATTTGCTATACCCACTCAACTCCACTTCCCGCGATAATATAATACGAAAGCGAGAAACGCATAAAAGCGAGTGGAGTAACCTAAAACACCTTAGCACATACAACATTTTTAGCAAGGAATATCTCAACAACAAGAAATTCATCTCACTTGGTTTCTTCTTATTCTATATACGGCATATCTAGTCTAATTTAGAAGTTTAACGTAATTCTTAATTATTTTCTGATGTTGCTAATAAAATACCGCACTTGGAGGGCCAAATATACATCATAAATTCATCACCCCGTAAAACTTCCTAATAAGTGAGAAATATAATAGACACATTACAGAGGTTATAGATTTATGGGAAGACTACATGAGTAGCTATGATTGCTAAGATATCAAACCGTAGTTTATCGCATCACTATAGTGTCTTAGGGTTCGTCATTCGCTTACTGGCTACGTTCAGCTCTATATATCTAGATGTATTGCATCAATTTTGTAGAAGCAGAGAAGCGATGTTATGAAAGATAAGGGATTTCAGCAGATAAAATCTGTCATAGAAACCACTAAGATTTTTACCGTAACATAGCGCAGTGGATTAATAGGTACTTCAAAAAGCTGGCTAGGTGGGGCGTAGAACTCAACAAAATGCATGGGTTTTATGGGATGGATCGTTGCGCGATTTTAAAACCCTTCGGTCACAGTTTTTTAGTCTAGTAGGGTGGGTATATGTCTCATGCTACACTGCGACCCTCTGGTAACGTGGAATGATATAACTGATATAACTGGTAGATGGATATTCAATGTCGGGATTGTAAATTAATGGATGGCGCAGACACCACGCATTTGTCGATGCTAATGCATATCTCATTTCGGCCAGTCCGAAGCTACTAACCAAGAAACTAGTAGCTCGTTAATCGGTTGTTCAGTCACTCTTTCAGTACAGTCACTATCCGGTCTATATAAAGCAATGGAACTGTCACTCCTTTCTTTTTCAGAGTCGTCTTCGGAAGCTGCCAAAAATCATGTCTTCCTGGGTCAAACTCGGCCTTGCAGCCGTGGCCCTCTTTTCTGACACTGCCCTTGGGTATGCTGCTAGACTGCCTGCTAGCCCGGGCTATCAGCCTAAGCACCCTTGTCCAGGACGATGCAGCACTGCGGGACCCAATCCAGGCAACTGGTCCTTGTATCCTAACTTGGAACAAATTGGCTCCTGCGATCTGACTATGTTCTATGACTTTTCTCTCTTTGACCCCGTCGACAATCCAAGCGGTTTTCACCGTATCTATTCTTGCTCTTCTTACGGCCCTGATTGGTCAAACTTGCCCAATGCAACGGGGAACGCGGTTCGTGCTACTACCATCAATTCGACGTATCAATTTGGCACTGGGCATGAAGGCGGCATGTCTCCTGCCTATGTGCGTTCGTTGGTGAGGCAGATACGCGAGTACATCGGAAATGGATTTGGGGCCACGAACAATTCCGTTATTCTGTTCGCCCGAGTCGCTAAGACTTCGGTAGGCCTCTATATTGGAAAGGGCCTGCAAAAGGAAGGTACTAGTGATTTTGCCCTCAAATTCTTTGAAAGGGCTGTTGCGTCTGCAGTGCAAGGTACTGGAACTGTGGCTATGCAGCTCTGCCAGCCTGGAAACGATGGTGATCATGTGTTTGGCATCATGGCGACCAGCAATTCAACATTTGAACCTATTCAAAAGGCTCTTCAGTCATGGTCCAATGCAGAGTGCCTATCTTTCCGCAATACCAGCAATATTACTGGTCCTGCCTACTTCACCACTCCTTTGGTACTCAATCTGCCACAAGCACAGACCACCAATTCAACTATCAAAACCAACTCCACGTTAGGCACTTCCTCCAAGAGATCATCGACCAGACGTCTCCAGATCCGCGATACTTGCTCCTACATTCAAGTCGCCTCGGGGGATGGTTGCTACTCTTTGTCGCAAAAGTGTGGCATTACCCAGGACGAACTTTCCGAGTATAATCCCTCGGACCCCGACTTTTGCAACGATCTCCAACCTGGCGAGTATGTCTGCTGCTCAGAGGGAACGCTTCCTGACTTTGCTCCACAACCCAATTCTGATGGATCCTGTGCCTCGTACACCGTTAATAGCGGCGACACTTGCTCGTCCATTGCAGCAGCAAACAGCATCACTACTGAAGAATTGACCGAGTACAACGCTGATACTTGGTCTTGGAACGGCTGTGATGATCTGTTCGTCGGTATCGTCATTTGCCTAAGCACTGGCACTCCGCCCATGCCCGCTGCAGTCGCCAATGCTCTTTGCGGACCAACAGTACCGGGTACACCAACGCCACCTGCTGGGACGAACATATCCATGCTCAATCCTTGCCCTCTCAATGCATGCTGCGATTTCTGGGGCCAGGTAAGTCCATCCACAGCCAGAGCAACCACTCTGTGTCTCCCCGCCAGCTAACGAATGTCCCTGTAGTGTGGGACTACGCCCGAATTCTGCGTAAACACCAACACTGGAGCGCCCGGCACTGCCGCACCGGGAACCAATGGCTGCATTTCGAACTGTGGCACAGACATTATCTCAGGCGATGCGCCTGCTTTGTGGCGAACGGTTGCATACTTTGAAGGATTTGGTCTTGACCGTGCTTGTCTTTATCAAGACGCCATGCAAATCGACGCTTCAGCGTATACGAACTTGCACTTTGGTTTCGCCTTGCTCAACTCCGACTACTCAGTGGACCCCACCTTCGGAGGTGATCAGCTGACAAGCTTTGAGTTTTCACAGTTTCTAAGAATCTCGGGAGCGGCAAGAGTCCTGTCATTTGGCGGCTGGGATTTCTCAACGGACCCATCCACTTATATGATCTTCCGCAACGGTGTGACATCTGCTAACGCGGAGACTATGGCGACAAACATGGCCAATTTCATCATTGAAAATAACCTCAATGGTATTGATATTGACTGGGAGTACCCTGGGGTGAGTGTCGATAACTCCTCTACGATTATTGAATTCGTTCTAATCCGATTTATTCAGGCTCCAGATATTCCAGGCATTCCTCCTGCATCTTCAGATGATGGTGCAAACTTCTTGGCATTCCTCACTATTCTGAAGGGCATGCTTCCTAACCAAACAGTCTCCATCACGGCACCCTCCTCATACTGGTATTTGCAACACTACCCTATTCAAGAGATTGCTGGGGTGATTGACTATATCATTTTGATGACCTATGATTTGCATGGTCAAGTAAGCGCTGCCACTCCAAATTGAGAAAAATACTAATTATTTATAGTGGGACGCATCCAATTCATATTCTCAAGACGGCTGCGCAACGGGAAGTTGTCTACGCAGTGACGTCAACTTGACGGAGACATTGAACTCTCTATCCATGGTAAGTTAAGTCTACTTTACCGAGCTCCAGATCAACAATCAGTCGCTTCCATCTCAACCATTCAAGTCATGTCACCAACTTGGACAAAAGCCCAATTTCCTGGCATGACTCTGGACAAACGGAAAGCGCGTTTGTCATCAATTCTAAATCTCTCTGCACATTCCTTATAAGCCGCATCTAATACCATTTTTAGATCACAAAAGCCGGTGTGCCCTCCAGCCAAGTCATTGTTGGCGTTACTAGCTATGGACGGTCCTTCGAGATGTCGGATGCATCCTGCTGGACCGAGGACTGTACTTTCACTGGTTCCAGTTCTCAATCGAATGCAGAAGAGGGTCCATGCACAGCTACGGCTGGTATCCTTGCGAACGCTGAGATTCAGAGTATTCTCGAAAACGCCACCCGCGTCAACCAGAACTACATCGACGAAGCTAGCAACACTAACATACTCGTCTATGACGATATTCAGTGGGTTGGATATATGGACGATGCCATCAAAGCCTCAAGGCAGTCTCTTTATCAGGGTCTGAACATGGGTGGCTCCGCGGATTGGGCTACGGATTTGGAGGCTTACAACAATGTCCCATACCCGGCGACTTCATGGCCCGAATTTATCTCAGATATCAGGATCGGCCAAGTCCTGTTCTCTGAATCTGAGAACATAACTGGCAACTGGACTAGTGTACAATGCACTGATCCTGCCGCTAATTTTTGGGTTCAAGATCAGATGAGCTCACAGCAACGATGGAGCGAAATGGACGGTGATGATGCTTGGGCAGACGTCACAAACCAGTGGATAAATGTGGACCAACCCAACGGCGACATCACCTTCGTTGCCTCTATTGTGAATTCAATCCATGGCCCCGAGCTTACTAATTGCGAGTCGATCGGGCCGATTAACAATTGTCAAATGACTCAACAGTGTTGGTTCGATACAGCGGGGTCTGATGGTTCACCAGCTGCTGGTGCAGTTTCTTACGAGATCTTTAATTCCCTTGTTATGGTTCACGAAGTATGTATCCCAAAATGTTGTAGCTGGGCCATATTACGCTTGACTGCTTACGTGAATAGATTGACTAACATAACATAACTCAGATATACGAAGACGTATGGGATGCATTGTGGACAGCCGCTGCTATTTTCGAACCCAGTCTCACTGAATTTGAGAACACCTTTGCGCCAGTGCCTCCACAACCAGACAATACTTGGCTTCAAATCCTCCTGGACTTTGTCAGTCTTGGAGCTACCGCTGTGGCTGCGCCGTTTTTCAATAGTTGTGAGTGTTCAGTCCCACCATTCATGTCAAACTCATGCTTACTGTATAAACTAAATAGTTTTCTCAGAGCTGCCGTATTTCGCCGCAGCGACTAGTGACACAATTAAGGATGTCACCTACGCTGCTATCTCGGCGGGAGTAGTAGTAGGTAAAGATATTGTCGCAGGCCAAACAACAATGTAAGTTTTCCCCGCAGCTTTCATCTCCTGGTACTAACCCAAATTCCACGTTTGCTTGGATCATTGCTAACGTTTCAAACGCGCAGTGGATCATGGACAGCGGATGACCAAAATGCGTTTTCTACATACATGGGACAAATTGTGGGCGCTTGGGCAAACTTAACGGATCTAGCGCTACAAGAATTACTGTCTGGCGACTCGACCTCTCTACTCAATCTTGATACCCTGATCACAGGAGGTAAACTCATCGCTGGCATGCCAGAGAATAACGGTTTCCCACCGGACCAGGAGAACCTTACTGTGTCAATTGATTCCGCCTTCTATGCGTACGCTATCCCTGCTATTTGGTCGGCTGCAAGCTATGATGTGTTCGTCATCGACAGCGGAGCTCCCTGCGGCACAGTCAATCCTATCACCCAATACATGACTACTGAAGATCAGGCAGTCTCATGGGGCTGCTATCCTGAGAATACCGGAGAGCTCTACTACCTCGCTATGCCGGTTACGAGTCAATTCATGCCCAATTGTGGCAGTAACCCACCAGATGGACGTTGCCCAGAGGTTCCATTCACAGCTCCGCCTGGACTCTCAACGTTGACTGAGGGGGCGTGGGGAGGTGTCACTGTACAGTCTCTTATTCAAGGGTAAGTTGCGCCCGTTTGTCGCTATTGACGATCATGACTAACAAAACTCACAGAGCCGTTCGCAGCTATCAATCCAATAACAATGCCAACGGTGGTGTCGTCGCAGATCTAAACGCCCAATCGACCGTTGATGATTTGATTAGCCAGGACTACACTACTCCTGGCTTCATCAATATTGCAGTGTGTACCCCAGAGATGGCCCAAACTGCGGTTGAAGCCGACATCACTGCCTCGGCCAATTATCCCTGCGCCGTAGTGCCAAGCCCCAATGACTGCGGAACCTCGACATTCACCGACGCAACCAGTGGCGGTTCCCCACTTGTTACTGATTGCCAGCAGATTGTGACCAATATTGCTGGCACCCAGGGCTCATGGGAGGTCGAATGCTCGGTTGGTGAGCAGCATCAACTAGTGCAGTATGGAACTTGTGCATTTGGGGTGACGGGAACAACTGGAACCGGTGATGTTGACTTCAATGTAGGCGCTCAGGATATCGTGGATCTTATCAATTCATCGATTCAAATGTTTGCGTCGGGTGGCTTGGTGGGTGCCTCAGGCAACATTGCATGCCAGGGAGATGCAGGAAACGACAATGTTAACTGGGGGCTTTACCATACTTGATGAGATCAGATGATATGTGGGAGACAGGCTACTCCATGCGCTTGATGCAGGGAGAAACCTTTATCTCGTGCTGGGGAGAGGAGTGAGGAACAAGGATCTGTCAACGAAAGTGGAGTGATATACTCCCCAACTGTTGTTTGTCAGCCCGTCCTATCTTTTATTTTTTTTTCCCATGTATATTTTCTGGGCAAGAAGTTCAATTTCCATTCTCGAGGACTGCTCAGCAGTAATTAATTTGTATCGATGCTCTTCGACAAGTCAATTGAGTTTAGAAGGACGAGGAGATGTTGCAGGAGCAATGATGTGTAGTTCTCAAACAGGCCGCTGACACAAGCGAGCCGCTCACCCACCCGTATTGTTTTCTTCTAAACAGAGACCTCACAACAAAATACCTTGATTCATGTAAAACTATGGACGCTACCTTTGAGGGTGTAGATGTTTTGATGCTGATCTTATATACATCTTTTGAGATAAAGCATCGGGTAAAGTTATATATACTAGCGTCCGCGAAAGGCTTTACTCTAAGTTATTCCTAATCTATACGGTATAGTTAGTCCCGGCGAACCCCGTAGACGAAATCACTATTCTGTGATCCTAGGCGTACTTTACCTTCCTTTAACCTTATATGTTCGGCCCCTTACGGGTACTTTCTGCCATGTTTGACTACACTTATGTCCTTATAGATATATTTACTTACGATAATAACAGAATATACTCTTATACTCCCGTTATCTTATATAGTAGTAAACCTTTAAAACTAAGTAGCCTTCTACGGCCGCTTACGGGAGGGCCTAACCGTATAGTAAATCTTAACTATCGGGAGGTCCTCCTAAAACGATCTCTGTATAACGGAGAGAGTAAAGGAAAAATTAGGTTAATTAGGAGCTCTAAGAACCTTTCTTCTATCTATTCTAGCGTAGTAGTACAGTATTAAGACCTAGCGAGCGATAGCTTATAGTCGGCGATATCGGCGACCTCGGGGTCTTTAGGAAAGTAGTAGTAACCGAAACCTTTTATTACTACGTAAAGATCTATAAATAATTATATTAGTATATATACGATATCTCCCGACTATAATAGGAAGATAGAGAAACGGATAGAATAGTCTAATTACTTTAGATTACCCTATAATAAAGTATCCTTCCGGAGATTACCTTCGGGTACGTAGACTTAGTCTATACCGAGGATCGGAAGTAAAAGATAAAAGATTAAAAAAGGTCGTTAAGGACCCCGATTAGCTACGAACGTAAATATTTAGACTAGAAATACCTTAACTATATCTAAATTTTATTTAATCTAGAACCTTTATTTAAAGAACTTATCTTATTATAGAAAGTACTATAGCTACTAGCCTAGGATAGATATATCCGATTACTCCTATTACGGAGGAAATCTTTAGTTATCTACTAAAGAACCTAGCCGATTCCTACCGGGAGTAGATTATAAATAATACTAATCCTAGTATCTATAAAGAGATAGCGAAACAGACCGCCTAGGTAATTTATAAAGTAGCTATCTAGCTATAAGTGTCTATTTTAGTATAACCGGCTATATAGGTATCTATATCTCTACTATAGGCTACTATAGGACTATTAGTACTTTTTAATTAGGCCCGATAGGAGATAAAAAAAACTATTCTAAAATATATTAGAAAGATTAAGGAGTATAATAGTAGTATTCCGGATAAAGCTATATACTATTATCTTTATAATTATAAACGTTATTTCGTAGAAGTAGCTAGATTTATAGGTATTAAACCTAATAATAAAAATAAGGTTATATATACTCGTAGAGCCTTAACCGGCTATACTAATAATTACTAGGAGTAATAGCTCGTAAACTTATATAATAAAAAAATCGAGACCTAGTAAGTCTACTAGGATTAGATCTTATATAAGTTTTCGGAGTATCTTAGTAATATAAAGAAGTAAGACTATTTTATATTATATAAATAGGGCCGAAAGATTTTTATATAGTATATTACTAAACTCTAGTAAGCTATATCTAAGTATAATCCTAAGATATAGGAGGATATTATTATCTAATACCTCTAAACGGGTATAAATACTAACTTATAGAAGAGATAGGCGGAAGAATATAACCCTCTAACTAATCTATAGGGTATTATTAACTATTTTATTAATTTTAAGCGAGGATTAATAATCGTAAACTATATTAATAGAATAATTACTAGCGACGAGCGTAACCTAAATAAGATAGATCTAAATATAGTATAATCCTAGTAAAAAGATAAGAAAAGATCGAAGTCGAATAATACTAAATACTTTATTTACGGTAAAAAAGATTATTTTAAATATAAATACCCTAATCCTAAAACTAATAAGTTAAAAAGGGACTAGAACCTACTAATATCTAGAGACTCGAAAAACTAAAAAGGCCGATTACTCTTAAAGTAGTAGTTAGCTATATAAAAAAAGCTTTAGTAGTACCTAAACTACCGGATTAGGACCTATTAGATCCGGAGTAAGCTAATTAGGCTAACTTAAATACCTTAGTATATAAATTTAGCCCTATTAGGCCTAGAATTAAAGTTTCTTTTTTTACTATAGAGGATTTATTATTATTTTATAAGATAGTATTAGGAGCTACCGATAGAAATATAGTAATATAGGCTCTTTTAGACTATAGTATATCGTATACCTTTATCTTAATAGATATTATAAAGAGATTTTCGGGCCTAGGACTAATCTACTAATAAATAGATAAGTTAAGAGTATAGATACCCGATAGTAGCTATTTAGCTACTAATATATCCGTCTACCTACTAGTTACTATAGGTTTATAGCAGGGATATCTAATAGTATAGATTCTAGATCTTCCTAACTATAAATTTATCCTCGGTAAAGATTTCTTTACTATCTAAAATCCTAAGATCGACTAGGTAACTTCGAAGATAAAATTATATAATTATAAGCGAACCTATATAATTACGCTAATCGACTACTAGAATACCTTAGAAATAGATAACGGTTATCTAAACTTAATAAAAGCGAAATAAGTTCTATAGGCGGTACGGAAGAAGAGTACTAAGGCTATCCTTTTAGTCCTAAAAATATTAAAAGAGGAGAAAATAGATAAAGTACTAATATTAGTACTAGATTATAGGAATAGATATATCTAGAAGATTATATATAAGTTTAAGTATATCTTTAAAGATAAACTCCCTAAGGTACTCCTACCTAAGTATATTATCGCCTACGAAATTAATACTAGAGATATATAACTAGTTAATATTAATTTATACCCTATATCGGATAAAAAGCTCTAGGAATAGGTATAATAGATCGAAAGCCTACTTTAAAAAGGCTTAATCTATCTATTAGCGAGCGTATAGGGCTTCCCTATTATCTTTATAAAAAAGCCTAATAATAGTTAGTATATATATATAGATTATAGGGCTTTAAATAAACTAATAGCTAAGAATAGGTACCTATTACTATATATTTAGGAGCTTTTAGATTAGATAGGTACTACTAGGATCCTATTAAAGATTAATCTTATATTAGGATACTAATAAATTCGGATAGGGAAGAGATTAATCGAGAAGACTACCTTTAATATAATTTAGGGTAAGTACGAATAGCTCGCTATATTTTTCGGACTCTATAATACCCCCGCTACTTTCTAAATAACTATAAATAAGGCCCTTCGGCCGTTTTTAGGAGATTTCGTAGTTATCTATCTCGATAATATTTTAATCTTCTCTAATTTAATAGAAAAGTATTACTAATACCTAGAAAAAGTCCTCTCTATACTCGATTAATAGTAGCTAATCGCCTAGCTAGGTAAATATATAATAGCGACTAAGAAGTTAGAATTTTATAGCTATATTATTAGGAATAGTTAGATCTATCTAGTTCTTACTAAAATTAATATTATCTAGAAGTAGCTAACTTTTTAGAATATATATAAAGTCTATTAGTTTATCGGATTAGCTACGTACTATTATAAGTTTATCCGAGGTTTCGTATAGATCTACGTACCGCTATATAAGTTACTAAAAGAGAAAGACGAGGACTTATATAAAAAGAAGTTTCGTCCGATTCGGTAAACAACTAATTATAAGAGTACTTTCCGAAAGCTTAAGAAAATACTTATAGATACTCCTATCCTAATCTAAGCGGATAGAGTAAAGCCTTTTACTATCGAAATAGATATATCCGAATAGGCGATTAGGATAGTATTATTTTAAGCTAATTAAGATAAGAAACTATATCTAATAGTATTCGATAGCTATAAGCTAACTAGAGCGGAATTAAACTACCCTATCTATAAGAAGGAGCTATTAGCTATTAAAAAAACGCTACGTCTATAGGATCGATATATCGAGAATAGTACCTAGACTATAGTTATTACTAATTATATAAGTTTATAGTACTTATAGATAACCCCGACCTATAGTAAGTATTTAGCTCGCTAGGTTAGTAAATTCTAGGAATATAATCTAAAAATTTAGTACTATAAAAGATCGGACACTATAGTCCCTAATATAATTAGTAGGAGGCCTAATTTTATTTAAAATAGCCTTATAAATATATTATAATCCCGACCGGTCTAAGATATCGCCCTAGCTATAATTTAAGTAGTCCGCTAGACTATTAATAAAGTCCTAGAAGAAGATTAGTTAGCTATAACTATATACTTCCTTAACTATAAAAAGCTACTAAATAATAAAGCTACTATAAAGACTATATAGAAATTCGCTCTAAACTTAAGCTTCTATATATAAAAAGATATAAGAGTAGAGGAATAGTAACTAATCTTTACCTATAAAGATAGGCTTTATAAATCTTATTTAGAGCTAGTCTTTCGTAGCGATTTAGTATCTTATCTATATAAAGAGTTTAGCTATTTAGGCTATCTAGGCCTAAATAGAGTTATTTATCTACGGGTGTAGTAGCCGTAGATATAGTAGAATATAGAAGATCTTATATAATTATATCTAAATTATTAAGTTTTATAGGGCTTTAAGAAGGGAT